CGTAACTATTGAAATCAACCCTTTCCATTCAAAATTCAAACTAATTATCAGATTACAGATCTTTGAGCAAACACTCAGTTTCGAACAAACTCCGGATGACGAGAGCAAATTCGTTTGCCAGTAGAAACATCGTTTCTGGTAAAAATGAATTCACTCGGCCAAATTCTGCATACATTCGGGCTAAAAAGACGATCCGCTGGTCCGGCGCTTTGTTTCGAGCACAATAACGACATTTAAAATCGTCATCGTGGACTGGGCAGAGCCGCAGGAGCCTTTAGGCCACGCATTAAACAATCCCAGTGAACCCGACAACCCCCACGCGCATCAAGTATAATCAAAAGTCGCGAAGGAAATTAGAAAAGCGGTAAAGTCAGAGAGTGCTCTGCGGTGTGTACGAAGTGCTGTTGCGGTGGACATCTTCTGGCCCTTGTTTCCGCGGCGAGGACCCTTGCCCCGGCCTTGCCGGAGCTTTAACCCTGCACGGTGTCTCCCTGCTTCCCTTCCTGCACCGGCCCACCAGGGGCCCTGCACCGGCCTGCATCGCCAGAGCCCGTCTTTTCCATTCCCCTGTGAATGGAAAGTGCTCCGCCGCGCCACGCCGCGAGTGCAATTAACTGCGGCACGGGCAAGCGCGCGCCGAGCACACGACAGAAACTCTCGCTCGTAATTCGTAAGGCATTTCGTGCGGTTAGACGAAACTTGGTAAGTTCGGCGCGTGACACCTGCCGCGCGTAATCAACCTGCCGAGTTAACTGGGTTTCTCGTTCTGTTGCTACCTTCCCTCCTCGATTCTCCTCGACTACCCACGACCCCCTTGCCCCATCAGCCAACGCCGACGCGATCCCTTCAGCGTGCGTTCCCTGTATCCTGGAGCAACTACAACTACGCCGCCAGGCCGCCAGCTGACGCGTATTGTCTCAATCTCGGGCTAGCATGGGTTAGTCGCGAGCGCGGATTTATGCCCGATCGGCGATCGACGATCGGCCAATCGAAGGCGCGGCGCGCAACTCGGAACGCTCGCGACCTATTCTAACCAGCCCGAAACTCGCATGATTTCGATAGTCCGACGGCGCGCGTATGCGCCGAATCGCGTTCGTGCACACATCAATTTCTTCGACGACATAACCCAAGCAACCTCGATTAATCGTACGACGATCGTTGATCGAGATCTGTTTAATTCAGAAAACTTTGGGATCATCGATGCAGATCTCTCGAATCGACCTTCTTTTTCTACATTTTTTCAGTTTGCGATTTTGCAATTTTTTCGGAGAAAATTGCTTTCTATGCTCGAACAAAGATTAACGGGTGTTTTTGTGGGTTTTCTTTTCGATTCGTTCGTTTGTCGCGTTTGGACAAAATTCTCGAAGTTGATCGTGTTTCGATCATTCTAGGTTCGCTAATCTCCGTGGTCTTACAATCTGTGCAAAAAGCATTCGTACGCTGATCCTCAGATTTTTGACAAATTGCCGATATTTCACGAATTAATAGACCGCATGTTTCAAAACTACCTCAAAATAATTTTGACAGTATCAAATTTGTCTCTATTTAGAATACTGTGGAAAGTGCAATTATCATTCGCGCCAAAATCATGTATAATAGAAACGCTGTAGGTCAGAAAACATGTTTTGGATTTCGAATTAAAATTGCTTCGAGTGCAAAGGGTTAACTGTCGCTGTGTAGCAAGTTTTATATAGAAGGTATGTATCCTTTTCTTTGAATGGTCGAATCAAATTCCGCATCTATACAAGGCTGAATCGTTCTCTAAATGAAGTCTGGTCTAGCCCGAATACCCGTACTGATTGGAACGACCGAGGACGAATTTTGTTTTATTTCGTCCAGGATATCTTGATTTTGATTACCTATCGGTCATTTCTTTTATTGGGGAGGAGATACAAGTACGCGCGATAGAGGGAAGACCGGTCTTTACAATAAAACGGGGATCACTGATCGAATCGTGAGAGACACAACACACGCACACAAACGTGCGCGTACGTGCGCATTTTTATTGGAGCATTTCTACCGGCTGACGTACCACCGATAATAAACATATCAAAAACTTATTTTACGTCAGTGGGAAAATTGATCTACGATTTTGCTAGAGAAATTAATAATTGATGAATTATGAGAAGTAGAATACAATTGATGTGGTATAACTTCGCAAGTTTGAGAATTTCAGAATTTCCTAAAATGAGAAAAACTCGAGCTCTGTAAAAAACATGAGATTGTAGACTGATGAATCGAGATTTGTTAAGTGAAAGTCTAACGAAATGCTTGAGGTATCCAGCGTATACAGAAGCTCGAATATTCCATGGGGCGTTAAATATCATTAGCCGCAGGGAAATTAATTCTTCGGTACGACTCTAATTCCTCTACGACCAGTCGTACTTAAACATTCAACGCATCCACCGAGAATCACGAGCAGACATGTAACAAGAGTAAGAGCAAGAGCAACAAGTGCTCAAGATGTAATTACCCTCAACTTCGCTTCAGACACAGTTACCCTAGCTAAGAAATTTGCATCCTGCAGAAACAGCAAAATAAATCGTCAAACTTCAGCAAAGATTCCTGTCGAAGAAATTTCCCTCGAATTGCTCTTCCTAATTTCCGGGTGCGAACTAAGGAAACACTGCCCGAGACACGTTTAGCTACCGAAACAGTTAAGCTTTTTCGAAACAATTTGATTTTGATTTGATTTTGAACCAAGTCCTCGATACACTGTAAACTTTGTTGCATAGTCGACAAACCATGGACATTTCCATGGACCTAGCTCCTTTAACGCACTAACAGTATTTGTGTCTCCCGAATGCGACAAGAGTTTCGATGACATCGAATAACACATCTGCTAATTAACACAACAACAAATATTTAATAAACTAATTGTAACACCACTCGTTGAACACAAATAACAATATCAGAAGTCCAGGTTCAACTGTCTTCTTCATCGACAAATTCGCTCCACTCGATACATTCTTTCATATTCACTGACTGACATTCAAACCCAGTTTACAATAAAAGAATCCCTCACAACACGTCGAAGGTTTGATAACTATATTCTGTTATAGCTCCACGAGGCTTCTATAGTCTTACAAATGGACGTTATTTATTTATTTCTCCACGAACGATTGCAAGAAGTTTGCTTATTAAATTACAAAAAAGTGTAATTACAAAGGTGTAAAGATCGTCCGATTGATTTCTGAGAACGATGTGCCTGATAAGATTAAACGTTCAATAGATGTTGCTAAATAGACTGTGAACATTCTATACATCACCACACCACTATTCAACGATCCTGAACAGCTCGCAACTCATTCTGCTCTGTACTCTGCTTCAAACCACAATCCATTCCGAAATTAAAATAATCAACGAATCTACCACACAAGCGAATGACAGGAATCACATTGGCACCTCGAATGACACCGAAACCACTGTCCCACCTATGCCGTATCATCAAAGGGAAAAGCGAGCCTTCGAAAACGGCAGCGCACACAGGATCGCGCTGCGTTTTCCTACTCCTAAGAGTTGGAAAATCCAACAAGACGCACACGATTGCATACACACACACACACACAAGAGTGATAGAGATAGAAGAGAGAGAGAGAGAGAGAGAGAGAGAGAGAGAAGGAAATACATGTAGAGAGCCCAGCCGGGTCCCGTACGCAGTAGGAGTAGGAGGCGGCAGGCTGGCCAGGCAGAAGACAAAAGTCTACAAAGGCGGGAAAGAGGAGGCCCTCTGGTACCCCATGACGACCACCCTCCCGTGGAGGGATGCACCTCCGCGAGTAGCCAGAATAGCGGCAACACCAGCCTCCCTCCAAACCGTAGGACGTGGCGCATGCCCATCCGGGAATCGAACCCGCGGAGGCACTATGTTAACGGCGAACCAGCCGCCGGGANCAAGAGTTTCGATGACATCGAATAACACATCTGCTAATTAACACAACAACAAATATTTAATAAACTAATTGTAACACCACTCGTTGAACACAAATAACAATATCAGAAGTCCAGGTTCAACTGTCTTCTTCATCGACAAATTCGCTCCACTCGATACATTCTTTCATATTCACTGACTGACATTCAAACCCAGTTTACAATAAAAGAATCCCTCACAACACGTCGAAGGTTTGATAACTATATTCTGTTATAGCTCCACGAGGCTTCTATAGTCTTACAAATGGACGTTATTTATTTATTTCTCCACGAACGATTGCAAGAAGTTTGCTTATTAAATTACAAAAAAGTGTAATTACAAAGGTGTAAAGATCGTCCGATTGATTTCTGAGAACGATGTGCCTGATAAGATTAAACGTTCAATAGATGTTGCTAAATAGACTGTGAACATTCTATACATCACCACACCACTATTCAACGATCCTGAACAGCTCGCAACTCATTCTGCTCTGTACTCTGCTTCAAACCACAATCCATTCCGAAATTAAAATAATCAACGAATCTACCACACAAGCGAATGACAGGAATCACATTGGCACCTCGAATGACACCGAAACCACTGTCCCACCTATGCCGTATCATCAAAGGGAAAAGCGAGCCTTCGAAAACGGCAGCGCACACAGGATCGCGCTGCGTTTTCCTACTCCTAAGAGTTGGAAAATCCAACAAGACGCACACGATTGCATACACACACACACACACAAGAGTGATAGAGATAGAAGAGAGAGAGAGAGAGAGAGAGAGAGAGAGAGAAGGAAATACATGTAGAGAGCCCAGCCGGGTCCCGTACGCAGTAGGAGTAGGAGGCGGCAGGCTGGCCAGGCAGAAGACAAAAGTCTACAAAGGCGGGAAAGAGGAGGCCCTCTGGTACCCCATGACGACCACCCTCCCGTGGAGGGATGCACCTCCGCGAGTAGCCAGAATAGCGGCAACACCAGCCTCCCTCCAAACCGTAGGACGTGGCGCATGCCCATCCGGGAATCGAACCCGCGGAGGCACTATGTTAACGGCGAACCAGCCGCCGGGATCGTCAGTGCGTTTGGCGAACAGTTCGCGAACGGACGTACTCATCGTGGCCTCTTGGAGAACGCTGTCGTCATCCGAGAATAAACATCGAGATAGAGACACGCGTGATACTACGCCGCCAAACCAACATCGCAATCCCCTAACGGCCTAGAGCCAGAGACAGGCACGGGGATCTCGTTTTCCTAACGAAATCGTCCTAACTTAGGACAAGGCCGATCAGCTCTCCGCTCTTCTCGGTCCTGGCCCAAGACACTCTGATCCACGCCGGATCGGTCCACCGAGTCGAACTAGATCGAGGATCGCTCGGAGACGATCCAAGCGCTCGCGGTGACCTCGGAAGAGCGTGCACCAAGGTCGTCGCGCGCGGCCGCGATCAATGAGCATCGCCACGTGACGAGACTCGTGGTGTTGCCCGATCCAACAACTCCAGCCGCTCCAACAGCTCCCACGCTTCCGAGATCGGTCTCCGCTCGATCGCCCAGAGATCGCCCAAAGGTCGTTCAGAGGTTGTCGAAGGACCATCTAGATCCCCGGTGGAAGCGGGGCACGATCGCTACGGCACGTGGAAATCTCGGTTGCGACGTCTGCGTCCGGTTGATTAAGGTTTCTGCGGGACTCTGTGCTTTGTGTAGAGAACGATCGGTTGTCGCCGATCGATTAGAATTCTCCGACGATCACGGACAGTTCGCGGCTAGGTATTCGCGGCAACAGTGACGAGGAGAGAAAGACTAGTGGAGGAACAAAGGAGGAACAGTGAGTGCAGTGCGATCTGTGCTAAGGAGACTTTAGGGACTACGACGCGACATAACAACATAATCGTAAACGTAAACGAAAACGTAAACGTCAGGTGCTTGAGCAACGGCTGAGAAGATTCTCGACCTTCGACTTAGCAGGCTGGTGAGTCCATTTGATCGTTGCGTTTTCATACTAGTTTGTTCCCATGGCAAGATTTTTCTTGGTAGACCGAGATAAACGTCGGTTGACTGCAAGTGAGAAACTTTTTTCTCGCTGGTATGTACCTGATCGGAGAAAATTGATAGCAGCTCGGAGAATAAGTCCTACTTGGATTAAGGTGTTTATGCACTTGGGGTTAATAATCGAAGAATTTGTGGCACGTTAGCAGAAAGTGCGATGCCACAGACAATCGTTTAGCACTATAATCGCCTGATAGAATCAGAAAAGTATTCGTTTGAAGCGGTCTACATGTTGCTCCTAATTTTTATGAATACTTTGTTACATGAATAAATTGCTGCATTTCGTTTTATCGGACTACACAAATGAAAAATGTGTGTTATCGTAAAGCTGCGTCATACTGTCGCAAATATTAAAAGCGTTGCTTACTTTCGTGTGACCGAGGAACGCCGAGAATTTTCAGCTCTTGTTTTATGTAAGGAAAAACCACGTAAATGAGTTCGTGTAACTAACTCCGGCATTTATAGGTATTCAAATCTGTTTCGAGCATAACACCTTATCCGTGCATACCCGAGATAGTAATGTGATCCTTCCTGTGAAAAATAATCGCGAGCACGATGAAAACATAATCGCATAGGCGCTGTTGACAGCAAAAACGAACCATTAAAGAATGGTAAAAGAACTGTACAAATATTCCCATGAAATTCTGATGTTGTTCGTTTGTAAAATACACACATTAATCGTACACTCATATCGATCATAATATGTAAATTGTATTCATGTACTAATCGTAATAGGTACATTGTACTCTACTAATTGTAAAATGTACATAAATTTTAGTTCGATATGAAAATCTAAATTGCACGTAATACGTACAAAATTAATTCTCCGGAAAATTGTATTATACTCTGCTACTACTTATTTAGAACACATTATATTCTTTACAGAGAACGAAATTTGAAAATGAAACGGTGTCTTTTATACTATATATAAAAATCAGAAATCGACTGAACAACATTCTATGATTTAAACAATTTCGATGAACGCTACAAGTATCGAGCGAACGACCTGACGGATTTATAATTTTCTATACACACAACCGATAGAGAAACGTTTAATAATAAATTCAATTGAGAATTTTTTTGTAGAAAACTCGGTTAGAATTTCTCCAATACTAAAATGAAAATTTTCGAGTAGATCGTTGTCACGTTATTCGAGATTAAACTAAAATTATAGAGTCCACTGGCGTTAAAATAAAGCTGTAAGTAGAATGGAACGACCAATGATCGGACAACGCCGCCGTCAGAGCATAGGCAATTGACAGTCATCGGTCGCCGGATCATTGAATAGACAGGTGTAAAGCGGATTGCAAAAAATCGTCACGGGATTCATGAATAAAAATCAGCAAGGGTGAATGCGGAATGGAAACATCCGTCTCCTGCAAGGAGTTTCAGAGAAAGAGCAACAAGTGTTACTGATATTGCACCGTGGAGACAATCTTTGATATGAATTTGTAAACAGGTCGGGCTAGATAGAGATGGACAGATGGATAGACAGATCGATAGATGGATAGATAGCTGAATAGATAGATAGCTAGATAGATAGACAGATAGATAGATAGAAAGAACAAGAGATCATGAGAGCGAGCGATCGAGCACGCGCGTGCGAGAGAGAGAAAGAGTACATTGAACATGTTCCACGCGCGAAGATAGTTACAGGATATTCATTTAATCTCGACCGGCGATGAAAAATGAAACGGCGATCACGCGCTTCGCCGTAATAAATCCGCGGCAAGTGCGGCTCTCCCATCGCTCGCGGGTAAAATCGTTGAAAAATTAGTAGCACGTTTGCCGCGCTGCATGGAAGCCGGCAGGATAATTTTAACAACCAATCGTATCGAGATTTCCGCGTGATTACGGTATAAAACGCTGTTATTTTCCGCAGCTTTCGAAAGAGTATTTTACTCAGTGGAAAATATTTGTCACTGATCGAAGCGATTTTTAATTGCAGCGGACGGTCTAGTAATACAATAGATCTTGAATTCGTACGGCTATTTTATCAAAATATATTGTATCGAGGTACATTAATTATTAATTCCTGAAAAAGATGATCAGGGTTCTAGATTCATAGGGGAAAGGCTAAGCAGAGAATGGGAAAACCGATGGGATTTATTAATTGATCGATACGGCTCCCGTTGACAGAATTCATTAATTAGTCCGGAATCAATTGTCGCGACCATTCCACGCAGATAGTTCCGCTAGAATGCGATGGTGGTCAGTTTAATAAATAGATCGTTTCAAAGCGAATCAGTGTCCGTTTCGTAGCTCTCTGCTTTTAATTCACGGAAAAGTCGGGACATTAATTAAACGTTGGACACTATTTTTCTGGGCGAGCAACAATATTTAGTAGACAGACGAGCTATGCCGCTTTCCGCGGGAATTTATGTTTACGAGCTGGAAAGTAAATACCGATAACCGCTGACATAAAGTTTCAGGCTAGGATAGCGGAAATTAAACAGTAAATATCTTCGCACGTTATACTTTCAGGGCAATTTTGTTCAATTATTAAGTTACAGAACGTTTTTTTTCCTCACGAACTAGCTGGAAAGGAAAAGAAGTGCATAGTCAGCTAAAAAGTTCCTAACTGGCTGTGAAATGTTTCTCGAATGCGTGCGTCGCGTCCTCCAGAAGTTGATTAATTGCAAATGTTTGATTATACGAAAAATGTCAACTGGTTTAATTAGTTTGCAACTTTTTCTTAGGGTTCCTCTTTCCTTCATAAATTTTTGTTTATGCAAATAACGCGTCTGCCTCGCAAAAAAATTCTTAGTAATGCGAATAACGTAATTATATCTTTTATTTCGCTGCATAATTTCTTCTGAATGTACTCTATACCAGAAAAAATTGCGATCATGACACACGACAAAAAGATAAGAACTGTGAACATTATTCTTCGAAACGACGGGTCATTAATCTTTTCATTTACGATTATTCAGATTGTAAAGATACATTTATGAGTTATTTAGTTAATATATTCGTTACTTGCACCAAATAGTACAATAACACCCTTAGAAAATCAGAATAAATGTCTTATTATTACTTTTTAGAAATAACATAAAAATGCTCCGTAAATCTAGTACTAAGACTTAATCGGCAATGGATCTAATGTTCATGTTGCACGATCGCAATTACGATATATACTTAAACAATGAATTTGAGAATTGTAAAATAAAAAATCTGAAACCTTCAATGGTGAAGACAGTATAAAAAATGTCACTCTCAGAATGAAACTACAGGATATGTAGGAACGTATAATTTCGCACATTATGGTCTCCAATAAATCAAGACCTATGTGACACTCAATTGAACGCAACATCGCGCGATTAATCTAATTAGCTGTTTCTATTTATCTCGTAGATTCCACGTTGATGATTTATAAACGTATAAACCTCCGCGGTCTAATTAGAAGCGTCGGGCGCGATGTAAAAAGTGGGGTCCGAGGGAGACCTCGGCCGGGCATTAGAAGCGAAAACAGCCGGCGACATGTTCACCGCGGAATTAGAGACGTTCGGCGGGCAATTACCGTCCCATTAATTTTTGCTGGTTGTCCGCTTAACGGGATCGGCTGGCAGTTTCTCACGGGGCGGTTAGCAAGTTGAACGCGTTGATAGCATGCATTATCGCGGCGCGACTTGTCGTTATCGCGCGTCGCGACGGAACTCGGGCTCTCTCGGGCTCTCGGGCTCGCTCCGAGTCTCTGTATCCCGTTAATTTAAATTATAATCAAAAATTAATGAGCAGCCAAGTCGGAGTTACGTCGGCTCGTCGAGGGGTGGATCGATGCGGTGGTATCACGCAACGGACCCACCTCTTTCGTTCATCGGCCGAGCCCCAAGCCGCGAGTCCCGAGCGTCGAGCTTATCGGCGCGTGGGCGGCCGACAATCGAGTCGAAAGAATTTCACCCGCCTCCTGCGCAAATGGCCCAGAAAATATTTGCACGGCATTCTTCCGGCGACAACTTTTCGTCTCGCTTTTCCGTGACGGCTGCCACCGCGGCGGACGCGGCCACGTTTTTTCCGGCACGCGGTCGATAACGGTATGTCGACCCTTTAGACAGTACAAGTCCTATTACCTGGGAATTCCGCCTGATAAGCCCGCCGCGAAACGAACAACCACCCCCGAGATTATTCGCCGACTTGATACTCCATTTTTTTGTTCGCTTAATCGCGTTGTTTATTGCCGACGTCATTCTTATTTACTGCGATTCGCCGCATCGCGTCCCGTCGTTCGGTGTCTCGCGGACCGCGAGACAATTTTCTTTTAATAGTAATTGTTTGCGTCGTTTTAACAAGTTAGCTGTTACAGTCTCTATAAAAAGTGTGCATGTTACTGCAATTAAACAGTATACGTTAAATTCTCGACATATTTTGTTTCAACACAACACTTTTATAAACTACACAATTTAATCAAGAATATTAATGTATATAGCTTTTTTAACCTGTTAGCTCTTATTCGCAAATATACTCGTCATGAAGAAATATAAAATTTTCTTATCTATATAAGTAATGATAGACGGAGGAAATAACAAAAAATTCGTACGAGGTGAAAAGTGAACGAAGAGAACGAGCTGTATTATGATTTATTATTCAAAGTTTGTTATTATTCCACGATAATTCCGCGTATAATTTCCGTTCCATCCGGAAAGTCCGCATTCGCGTTGCATTCCCACAACGCTGTAGAGATCAAATATAATTTTTTATGATCGCTCCCGAAAGTTTTTATTTTCGCTGACGGTAACTTTTACATTCACCAACGTAGCCGCAGCAACAGCAACAGCAAAATCGGGTAATACAGTCCGAAACATTGGATGACAGCTGGTAAATCCTCATCCCGGTGGGGCTTATACGTCGTTGGACAAATTGTTGCCAATCATAAATAATTGACAGACAATCACGAGGGATTTAGGTTTCCCGACTCGGGATGTC